TTTCATATGCCCGGAGTTCTTCTTTAAAATGAATGCATGGTAGAATTTTATATTACAAAGTATGTAATCCAAAAATACACCAGGAACATAACATCTACTAGATGTCAGCAGATTACACCAGGGATGAATAAATTATGAATGCTTAAACAGATTCATCCACTATGCAGGTATTGTGGCTTGTCTGAAAGCCTGCAGGACTTTATAAAAATTGAGTGCCCTTCTATGACTCCTGGATCCTCTTTCCACAGTACTAATATTTTAATAGAGTAAGGTGGTAGCAGGTAGTTATTTATAAACTCTGAGTGGGTATACAAAGGCACAATGCACTTGAATACTGTCAGTGTGTGTTTTTCCTTTACAGTGGCACTCAGACTGTGAGATGGAGGATTAGCATAATCAGCAATTATTTTCACTGCTTTGCCCAGTGCTATGAGTTTAGCACTGTAAACAGTGCGTTGCTGCTCTTTATTAACCACTTAGCATGCCGGGCTTGTGTAATTGATCACGCTGCATTATTACTTGAAATATACAAGTTTTATAATATTTTTAACTATACATGTAAAATAGATCTACTTAATATAAATAATAATACGTGTTAAATGCTTATATACAGTATGTAGAATGTTTGGATCACAAGACTGATTGAGCAGAATTATAAATCTTCTAGCAGCATAGACAGTTTGCAAATGTATATTTCAATGTATATGTGTTCAATGTATAATGTATATAGCTGTTTTTCGCAGAGTTTAGCTTACAATTACAATTTCAGGCTAATGTTGTTGAGCCCAATCAATCACGTTTCTTTTGCCTTACTAGGGAGATGTGATTACATTTCTTTATCTGATTTCCCAACTTTAGCAGCCATGCGTGAGCCTCACTACCGTTGCAGTAGAAAACAAAGTAGATGGAAAGAAATGTGAAATTCCCTCTTTGATCCAGTAATTCAAGCAGCAGAACGCAGAGTTCAGAATTCTAGCAGGCACCTTGCAGGTGAAGTTCCCAAGAGGTATAAATAAAGTTCAGTATGCGAACCAACACACTAGTGCCATACAGAAAAAAAGAAATATCATGGATCTAGTCATTTACTGATGTTAGGCACGGTGCAGGTTCCTCTCCAAGCTAAGCTTGCACTGGTCTGCACACACTCTCAGCAAAAGGCTTTTATAGTTGGTATTGTGTCTGCTGCCATTCAAGAACTGCATTAACACTGCAGATGTCTCAACTTCAGGGCCAGATCCAAAGAGTCTCAGCTATGCATCATGAGCCTTCTATTGTGACATCAAAGTGAACAGGATCTGCACAGAGCTCTTATAATTATTGCACTTTATAAAATTCACTTGATAATGAATTAATATGAATAGTGTCTATAGCAAAACCTCTCTAAATATCTTAGTGATGTTTCAAGTCTGGCATGACCCTTGCTCAAGCCATGGTTATGTAAGTTATTACACTTAAAATGGCACAAGCAGAACACAAGACTTATATAGGTAATCATAAGAATCAACCCTACTTGTCAACTATTCGCAATGTAGAATAGTGCTCTGTAATTCTACAAGACCAATGCAATTTCAAAGTCATTAGCAATACACTTACAGCAAGGACAGTAGTCAATATTGTGGTTTTTTTTCTAAAAGGTGGGAAAGATGCACATTTTAATCATCATTTAATTGTGATTTTTACTCCCCTGAACAGAGTTTCTTACATTGCCACCCTAACCCCAATATCATTCAAGCAGTACATCTTTACAGCTAATTGCTGTAAAACTCTACCTAAATACCCTAATTGTGAGCCACATGCTCAAACCTCACTGGTAACCCTAATGATCCTTTGTTTCTTTTACCGATGTTACCCTCCCCTAGATTCATCATTACTCTCAGGTTTGTGTTTCAGTAGTTAAACTGCTAAAAATAGTACGCAACGGATAAAAATGGGAGGTAAATAAACACATAGATTCATAAATAAAAGAATACCATTAAAAGTCATAGCAACCAATGATTTATGCAAGAAAATTAAATACTGACCTACTCAGACCTAGTATATTACCATTAGCAAACACATAACACCACATACCTGATTGTTTTTTAAAGTCCAACTCCTGCAAAAAGTACTTAATTTGCTAGACTAGACTACAGAAGAGTTAGAGTCTCAGGTTTATTGCTGTCTGTGTCAGCGCTGGGGAAATCTTCCCTCACTTCAAGTGAATGGACATTGCTCCAATAGGGACACAAAAAAACAAAATACATTTTAGTAGACAGAGGAAATGTCAGAGCTTGACAATAATAAGGCCTGATAATGCTCTTATTACTGTCTGTGCTTTCCTGCCCTGGTGATAACAACTGTGTTATTGTTGTGCCCTTGTGTCAGAGGGGCAGAAGTGGGGGAAAATGTTGCCACTTGGGTCACAGACAGAAATAAAGACCTGACAAAAATGTAACTCTTCCCCACTCTATCTAAAATTAAAAACACAAAGTAACTGGAGATAGGTTTTAACTCTTATGTCTCTAACATACCATTATATTGGCAATACTCATCATTGTCATTCCTAAGAGTCAGGAATGAAAGCACTAACCTGTTTAATTATTGGTATATGTTTGCCAAAACCAGTTGCCACATAAGTCAGTCTGTAATTTATTGTAAAAAAACATCACATTTCAAGTTCAGTCAAATATGACTTCTTGGTATAGAGGCGTTCATGCATTGTTGGTGTACAGAACTCGCCCCAGAAATGTTACTTCCTGCTTGTGTGATTGACTCAGTGTTATTCTTAGCACATTTATTCTTATTAAAACACTGGCACTAAGTGGCTATAGGGAGTTTTACAAATCCTTGCAAGAGATATAACTGACCTCGAGTAGACTGCTTTTTCTAAGCAAACATCGGGTCACACATTAGTTAATTTATGCCTCAATTTATAACTTAACCACAGAAAACCTAAGCCTGTGAGTCGATCCTGACCCTCATGGACTGAGTTGAAAAACCCTGATATATACATTATATTATTAAAAGGCAATATATGGGGTATTTTAGGGACATGCTGGGACCCATGCAGCTACCGACTACCAGGAGTCACAGCCTATATTAGTAACCTAAATCATCACTGGACATCTGACTGCTGTAACAACAGCTTCTACTTGCCAATGCTATGTTTTGGAAACCGTGGATTGAAGCCTCTGTTTTATGGTTCCAAATTTGGCCTGAGCCCACTGCAGTCTTGGTTATGCACACTAAAACATGATTAAAAGGCTTCACAGCACATAAGAATGTAATAATAGGCTGCTTCCTACACCAGAATTTGGCCCAGAATTTGCTGCATAGTAAATGGCTAAAGGCCATTACACTTGCTGAATTCACTTGACTCTCACAGGTATCGGCACTAGGGGTAGCACCACTCTCCCTCAGAAAAACCTCTGCAATCCATAGGTTGGTTACCATTTTACCCCAGGGCTTCATCAATACAATCCCCAGTACCAGGCTCAGTACTCACAACACAGCATACAGGACATGGGATGGACACCGGATATGCCAGCCCTTGCTGTAGTAGCAGACTCCTAACTGGTGTTGAGCACCTTCTAATTTTCTCACTTCATCCCAGCACACTCCAGACATAAAATGTCCAGTCAGGATTAGCTTGTTTTAACAGTTTTACTTCAACATACCTTGTCAGCAAACAGGAGGAGGCATTTCCAACATGGTAACTCAAAGCAAATTGCAGTAAAACAGACATCTTCTGGAAACTCTAGTGTTCAGGTACTCACTGTGACCCCGGTGCTCAGATAGCCCCTCAAAGAGTGACACTTCTAGCCTGGTTGTCCTGAAAAGGCTCTCCGACACTAAGGGTAAGTCCCTGTCAGCATTGGTACTCACAGGCTGGAATAGTCCCAAGAAAATGAGGGAGCCCACCCCCACTCTATCAGGGAACAGCACTGCTCCCCAGTACGTGCGGTCATGTGTCTCTCTCTAACGTCTGCTGCTGCCGCCTTCTGTTCTCTTCCCATCTGACACAGTAGTTGATATTTATATATTACATCTGTACCAAAATGGCCTCCCAAATGGCAGGCATTTGACACCTATAGTAGTAGGCACTGGCTTCTGCCAGATGGCCATCCATAGCCCCCTTCAGAGGACAAGTCAGACCTTGGCAAGGTTTCCTCTAGTGCCCAGAGCAAAGCATTGGTCATGTGACATCACTTGAACTTCAGGAAAGGTGGGCTGTGGCAAAATGTCCCCACCTCCCCGTAACACCCTGTTACAAGCTGTCATTGGTTTTATAAAACTGAAGTAATGGTGCCCTAAGTAGAAAACTAGCTCAGGACAGTTGCAATGATTCTTTAATAGAACTAGCAGTTAACTGATTGACTGCGCCTGCTTCCGAGAGATACTCTTTGAGATAGCTACTCTTCAAGCTTTTGAATATAAAGTACTTTGGCTGAAATAAACCTGTCACAAACCTGGCCAATGCACACTAAGCATTTGACAAAAAATACATAACTAGCTGTACACTATGCCCTGGATATTCAAGATATGTTTGTGCATGCTGTAGATTTGAGGGGTTCATAAATTAATAGTTCAATAAATTAAGTGGTTTATGGAAGAATAAATCTTAGTAAATAAAGTTTATTGCTTTGCTTTGTTCATGTTGAATGGTGAATCATTTTAACTGATGCCCTATTAACATATACATAGATAATATGTTGTCTATATTATTTACATTGACACAATTAGTTTCTATCAAGGGATGCATTTATATGCAAACATTGTAACAAGAGCACTTACAACAAATACATCTAGATAGGCATCCACTGAAAAAGAAAACAGGCACAGGATGTTGACACATGAAGACAGTAAAAAATATTGGCGTATCCCACGAGAAGGATTGTACTGGAGGAGCTTGTATTAACGGACAGCATATTAAGAGGAGAATACTGTGCCGAGGTTAATTAAGGACAACTTGCTCTAGGTACCTACAATGGATGAAGCATGCAAAGCAGAATGGAACGTACCTTTGCTTTATTGATTGTGCAGTGCAGAGCATTGTTTTCATGATCGTACAGCAAGCTAAAATCCAGTGTGCCTAGAGTGGCTAGAAAGAAAAGAAAAGGACACTGTTATTTCACTTTAAAACTACTGCTACAAAATGTGAAGTATAAGTATAAAAGCTTCCATAAACTAGCATCATATATTTCCCACTGATTTAACATTAGATTTCTGGGAGAGTGTAAAACACATGGTGCTGCTAAATCTGTATTCTCCTGCCAACTGTCTGCACTCCTATCAACTGTCAATGTGAAACAACTTGACGATATCTAGAAGGGCATATCCAACCTCTTATAAATTGCCCAGGGTGCAACCACAGATCATTCGGTCATAGCAAAATGTTTATGGGGCCCCCTGGAGACCTCTAATGTCATTGACCTCCAATGACCTCCCTACTGTCATTCTTTTTGTAAAATAGGGAGAAGTAGCAAGAGAACTGTCAACATCGTCAGTACATTACTAGGGACCAGAGCTGTGGACAGACGTTGTCAGGGAAGAGAATTTAACATTTAACATTCATTTTTCAGCTAACTGCTCTGTCTACAATAGCTCACCCAGATCTCAATGTAACTTCTAAGCTCTACCACTACTTTCCACCCCCTTTCACCGCCACAGCAAGCAAGTGCTGAAAGAGGTAGTCTGGTAATAAGTAGAAAAAACACACAGGAGAATCAAGAGACATATTCGCAATAATAATGACTTTCACAATGATTTATATTATGACATAATTGTCAGTTCTCCTGCACACAATTACTTTATATCCCTATACAAACATCTTGAAACTGTAGCTTTTTTCCTTTTGCAGAAGTACAAAAAGCTGTCCTGCCCATGTTAAAAATTGTGTGCTTCCGTAAAACTGCGACAGAATTCAGTACCCCAAAAAGTCCACGCTTTATAAGCCCCTACAGGTGATCAGTTTAGAGATACGTGTAAATATTGGCCCTAGAATTATTGCTCTCACTCTGGCGTGTGCGGCGATACCCAACATGTGCAGCACAATCGTCGTTTTTGTACGTAGGCGCACCTGACATGTGTTTACGTGACGACGCGTGTGCTCGCGGTGGCGTGGGACTTTATAAAATGTTTTTATTATTTTTACATTTAGTTTATTTAATATTATTTTTAAAACTGTTTTTTTTTTAAACTTTACCTTAATTGCTATCACATAGGGGGGCTTACAAGTCCCGCATGTGATAGCATATTGGCAGTGACAGGTCCTCTTTAAGGTGATGCTGGGGGTCCAAAAGATCCCTAGTATCACTTTTACACTCTAAATAAGCTATTAATGTGCAGATCACAATTCAATAGCTATGGGACTAAAAGTGATGCAATACGCGTTGCTCCTGGTCCCATAGAATGGGGAGGAGAGTGGTGAACGGATGTTCACCGCTCTCCTCCCTAGCTTCCCTCTGACACCTGAGATGCTAAAAGCGGGAGTCTGTTTGACCCCTTCAAGATTCATGACATCATGGGGGGTTAAGCCTCCTTGTAAGTGGTATTTAATAATGTTTTAATATTGTCAGTTTTATTTTTTAAGATGTTCTTTACACCTCATCTTCTTTTTTTAAAATAAAACATTTTTAAAACATCACTTTTTTTAAAGAGACACAGCCACGATTAGGTTTCTGTAAGAATTTGAATATTCAGTCACATTAATTTATTGGTGTGTAGTCTTACTTATGAAAGATTTATGTTTTCATTTAACTAGTTCTACTTACCTTTTTATAAGAGGTGCTGTCCTGTCAACTACCTAACCTTACATGCTAATTTCCAGCTCCCAGAAGTGTAGAAAAAAATGTGAAATTAAAGAGTACTGCAGTTATTTACATTCCTCTTGAGCAGAAACCTCTTATATTTGACACTGCAATGCACTCCCAGGAGCTGGAAATTAATGTGTTAGGTCACAAATTTTATTAGGTAGTAAATTCAGGTGACTTCTCACCATGGCTTTAGTTAGTTAGCTAATTTGTTTTGCAGTTATAGTCCACCACGGGAGCAAGCTTGGAGCAGTGGCTACTTTACAACACACACAGGGACCACGGGGAACAAAGATAGCTACCCTCCAGAAGGAAGGACAGGAAGGAAGGACAGTGTCAGCCTGAATAAGAGTTCTCCTGAGTTTACCACACCACACCACACCACCCAACTACCACCAACAAATTCTCATCTGAACCTAAATCCCTTCTGTTCTGCAATAATATAAGACTGGATATTCAGAATTATGCATAGGAGGCAAAGAGTCAGAGGGGCTATATTTAGCGTAGCTGTGTTTATATATATAAAATATATATAAAATATATAACATTCTGTACTAAAACCACTGATTAACATTCTGTAATCAATCAGTGATGATTCTAAATTTTGCACTGAAAAGTGTTTAGCCCTGTCTGTAAACATCAGCTGTGATGTCTTTGCTATGATTACCAGTGTTCATAGTGGGAGTCTATGGAGAGGTGCGCTCAGTGCTGTAGAACAGGTGTGAAGATGGGTTTGTTAATAGCCGATTCTCGATTACAGCCCCTTGAGCTTCTAGTGTGTCATCAACAGCTAAGAGAGTGATTTGCCGAGGACATCTGTCATAGAACTGATGTGCAATTGATTATTTACAATATTAATGAATGTCTTCCAGAGTACATCCTGGACAATACTGGTGCTAGCAATACGAACACTGGACCCCAATAATATACATGATGAATCAAATGTAGAATAGTGAAGTTCATTTTCTGAAAGCCGGCATACTATATTATTAATTAATATGTATAAATTATTATTTTGTTCTACACATTAAAATTCTGTGAATTTCAATCAACCATATTGTAATAAGTACTAAACTGAATAATTCTTATGATTCACTTACCACTACTACATTCCATAGTAAGGAGGTTGATTTCTATATTTATTTGGGTCACCAACCTGCTATTTGGACAAGGGATGATGTTGCTATCCTGTCAAATGAGCATGCTAGAAGTGAGAAGTGATAGTGGAACAAGTGCAGGTAAATCACAAAATAGGTTTGGCTTTGCAGGGTGGTAGAAGGGTTTAAATTACAAGCCTGACTTTCGGGCAGAAGCCTAAAACAGATACTTGCTAGCAGCAAATCCGGCCACTTGTTCCACTTCACATTAAAGTAAAACAGGAGCAGGGTTATGTCACTAAACATTTAAGTAAATTAAGACGTCTGTGTGCTATGACAAGAACTTCCAACTGTCAGAAGGACATGCTATTGCCCAAAGGAACCCTTACTTGGACCATTCTTCTCACTTATTCTTAAATGATCCTCTAGCCCTGTGCACTCCTGGCTGTGCACTGCATTCTTAAAAACTAGAGCCATCCACAAAAATGTTTTGTAAATTTTACTGAATACTGAAGTGGTATAGGCTAAAATCATACTAACGTTTCTGAGCTAATCATTATGCAGTAACCTCAAAAGCTTACCTGCAGTTTTCATGTTTGACATCACCATATGCAAGCTGCATTGGCTGAACATCTGGGTGATTAACTTATCTAGTACGTGCATCACATAATTGATTAAACACATATATTCAAATATTCTGAGGATGTATTACTGGGAATGTAGCATATGTCACAAAATGTGCCAGGGATAATCCTGGAGGGCTCTGAGATAAATGCTTTTAAAATGCAGACATGCATGTAATATTTATGAACGTCTATGCACAATCCCCAGTAGCTGTTACAAGTTCCACAACAGTCTATGCAACCCTTGACATAGGAATCTACACCTTAGATCAGGGATGGCCAAACTGCGGCCCTCCAGCTGTGGTGGAACTACGAATCCCACGAGGCTTTGCAAGATTCTCACAGCCACAGACATGACTCCCTGGAGAGAGATGCATCATGGGATTTGTAGTTTCACCACAGCTGGAGGGCCGGAGTTTGGCTACCCCTGCCTTAGATACACAACACTAAGGTGTGTATTTTTAAACAATTCACAGATCCATTTGTCCTGCAGAACTCTTTAAATGCTTGATCTTTGTGAATGGAAGCAAAAACAAATGTTCTTAACATATTTTTTTCCAGTCTAATGTAATACTAGGAACAATACCAACAAGAAGAGCTGAGGAGCATAGGAAATAAGTATTTTCTATGCTCTTCAGCTCCATCTAGTAGCCATAATGCAGTATTTTGCTAATATTACATTTGATTTAAGTGGATAATATGCTGAGAATGTTTGTTTTTGCCCCCATTCCCACAGAACAAACATTCAGAGTTTTGCAAGATGAATGCCTCTGTAAATTGATTATAAATATACGCCTAAGCAAATCAAGCACTAAATTATCAATAAAAACACACTCAAAACACATTATAGGCAGGAGTTGGTAGCAGTACATGATGCTACCTGTAATATTATTGCTGCTATTTTGTTGTGGTTGGGACACTGGTATCCAATGAGTGACACCGAAAGGAGTAATTCTGATTTGGGAGTCAGCTCTAAACACCTGCACTCTAGATCATGTTATTCACATAAAATTTTTTCCTGCTCACCTAATAACAACTTGACCTTATTAAAGAGAAAGCAAACATTATTTTTGCATCCTAATTTTTCAGTCACCTCACAGGTGCGCTGTTTTTATTATTCATGCCCCACCATGTTAGCTACTGCTACAACCAGCATTCTACAACCTCCATTTTGCATGTTGTTTTGAATGGGAAACAAAAATTATTTTTAAATTCTTAATGTGTTTCATTTTTATTAACAGACAATTATCTGAAAGCAAAATGTAATTAACTGTCTAAGTTTAGTATATGAAACAATTAAAACACACTAGAGGCACTTACATATTAATAAAATATTATTAGCACTAAATGGTTTTACATATATTAGATCAGTGTGTTGTAAAGATTATAAAATAGGATCAATAGCCATTACAATGGAATTATATCATCATATAGAAATCGGTATATAGAAGTTTTGTTTCGTTCCGAATTGAAAGTCAGATGAATGTCCGACTTCAAATTTATCCTAATTTTGGATACGTTTGAATTTGTGAATGGCAAGAATAAGGAATTTGAAATATCTGATTTTTT